ATGAATTTTTTTATTAAGATTTTTCCACTGTCTGAATTTTTTTAGGCCATCAGCTGCAAGAATATTTTTAGGGTTACTTGGCATATTGTATTTTCCAATTTTCACTTGCATGTATATTTTTTTTGTATTCCCACCAACTGTGCTTTGTATGGGTAAATTGCAAGGAAAGATTCTAGGAGCAGAGTCTGTCATGCACTTAAATGCCACGAGACATTACAATCTGCTACTTTAGAAAAAAGAAGGTAATAAGAGCTGAAATGTCTCCCATATTGATTGTTTCTGGGATAATGTCACTGAGGATGTGCCAGTCAGCTATCAGGCTAATAAGCCCAGTCTCTTGTAACAGTCCCAGAAGTTGCTCATTCATTTCTTTGTCATTTCTAAAGTGGCAAATAACATTGCTTGATGGCCGAAGGTTATCCACTTCTGATCTTTTAGAAAAGCTAAGATATGATTATATTTCCGGGCCCTTATTCAATGCAGCAGATAAAAGTTTTGCACAGCTAGAGAGTTTTTAATATTAAATTGTTTGACGTATTTGCTCATATGTTTGAACAATAGTATATAATTTATCACTGATAATAAATATATTTGTAAATTAATTTAATAATGAGATAAGTAAATATTAGAGCAAAAAATAATAACGAGATCATTGACAAAAATTATGATAATGCATTTAAATTCAGCTTGATCTTGCATAATTTCTGATTCTCAGGTGAAGAAATAATTGCACTCACAGAGGATGTCACCGATGATCACATGGATTCAAAGCTTTCCAATGGTAATACACAACAATCTTAACTATTTTTAAGCAGGCACACTGTCCCATTAGTTTGTTTACATAAAACTATCAGCCCAATTATCACACATCAGCTTCAAGTATTACAAAAGAAGACAATTATTGTCTTCTCAAGCTCACACAACCCCTCTGAGATATACTTCAGTCTGGCAAAATCCTTGGACCAGATGATCATACACTGAATGAGGCAATTTAATGTATTAGAATTCATAAAAGAAATATTCTGTGATTTTATGAATCATCAAAATCCTACAATCTTTTGAATTTCACCTGAGACAATGTGACTTAAAACTTTTATAGTATTTCCTTGCGTGACCTGGACCAAAGCTAATTGATAAAAGGGCCGACATTGGTTTGAGCCAGCGGAAATGTATTGAATGCTAAAACAAACTGATCGACAATTGATAATTTTGAAAGAAAGAATTCAAGTTTGATAAGTTTTTTTGCTAAGCTGGAAAAGGTCATTAACGTTTTCTTCCTTATGTTGACCACAATGAAATCCTGGTGTTTGCCAAATTTATAATTCCACCAGATTGCATCCTACAGTACTTAAATTTTTTGAAAATTTCATGGGGAAGCATGCCCCCCGACCCCCCTTGTTTATCATGCCTTCGGCACTCATCATTGGCGCTATGGTGCCAATACCACACTTATTCCCAGTTATGCCCCACAAAGGAAAAACTCCCGGCCCCACCGCTGAACCCTGTATATACATTTGCATGAAGTCATTTACTGTTGAAAGCCAGTAAACATAATTTATTATGGGTTTTCTGTTAGCAAAAGGTCAAGTACTATTTGTCAAAAAACCTCATACAGTATTCTAATTTCTTTAACTTCTAAAAGTAAACATTCTTGAAATACAAAGATTTGCTACACAGCTACCGCTCTCTCAATATTAGTGGTGAGTGTGGAAACACTACTTTAACAATATTCATATCATGTGTGTGCATGCAGCAATCATTTTTTACATCCACTATAAACACTGTAGCATCTTACAGTGATGTATCAGAGTTTTCTACTAAAGTACCATACTTAGTAGCAAACCTGTCAGAAGGTGCCATTCATGGTTGACTAATTCTCCAGGGGTATGGAAAGGAGGGAGGTGGTAGAAATTAATGGGAAGTTACGGCTACAAATAATTAAAATGTCCCCCCTCTACTTCCGAAGATGTGCCCAACCCGCCCCCCCCCCCCCTCCCAACTCACCTCCCTTGCAATAAAAAATGTGATAGCGTAAACCTAAACTTTTTAAGCTATTCTCAAGGTTAATTCAATTAGGTCAGGGCAATCAAAACAACAGTGCACCTTAATATGCTATCAATCCTGCAGCCAAAGTAAAATTTTGTTTACAACATCCAAAAAGGAGTCCACTCTAATAAGGGGCTGTTTGTTAATTTTTTCAATACATGCAACAAAAAATATACCTCCTTCTAAATGTAAAATCTTAAAAATGGAACGACCAAATTATACAAAAATGGTTTTTCTTGGTGTCATGTGTTGTACTGTGCTTGGTGATTTATTTACTGTTACAATGAAACAACATCAGGAAAACAAAACTCAAATTAAGGGCCATGAGAATTCGCCACGGTTATGTTCTGATACTGAATTCATCAGGGTGTCGAAAATACAGCAGCCACAATAGCTCCATTCTTAAGCAAAGTCTAAAAAAAGTGTAAGTGAAAACTCTGCATCTAGATGAAAACACCAAAGTAAAAAATGGTATCCCCATCCCATTTTTTGCCATCACAGAAAAATGATTGCCCTATTTTCAACTGATTTTGATTTTGATTTAATTCAGTTGTTTAATTGTACCCCCGACTCCAGTCATTAAAACACCCCCAGCCACTGAAGGACCCGAAGGGTTAGGTACACCTGGGATTTCTTGGTGGAGGTATCACAGAGACCAAAAAATGTCATTTTCACGCCCATTTTCAGACCTAGCCTCTAAAATCCATACCCATTTTCGGACCTGGCTTCTAAGAAGTTATGTCATCATTACTTAGAATAAAACAACAACAAAAACATTTCTTTTAAAAATCCATTTCGAATTCGCATATTTCTCTTTCTTTCTGTCTCATTTGGAAATGAAACGATAAATACGTTCATACACTCCAGTAGTTCCCTCGAAAACCATATTCAGACCAAAGTGGGCCAAGTCTACACCCGTTTTCATGGGCCGCCCCAAAGGGTAGGGTTTTGGCGCCATTTTGGCCTACCTATATCAGCTATATGGCTTATAAAGGGAGAGAGAAACAATGGCTTGAATAAAAGTCTACTTCCTCTACGTACCTTCCCAGGGAAGCTGCATCGGCTCAATCCTCAAAAGCGCCATGTTGGTCTTGTTGGTGAAAAGTTCAGCCTGCGCAGCAGCTGGTAGCAGGCGGCGAAACAGGTAGGGGATAGGGAAGAAGAGAAGAAAGTAAGGCCTTTTGCGCCTGCCTCGCAGCTCAGGAAACTGAAAGGCCAACAACATACCACGTGATCAAATATCGTAAAATTCACAGGGTCCAGAGGAGATGTGTTTGCCGTTAGAACATCAAAACCTCTGAAAAAATGCGATACAGTTGTCGTTTCGGTTTCATTACACATTCTATATACCGCAACCAAGAGACTGAGGGCTCGCAAGATCGGCTTACAGTACTTCGTGCCGTCCTTCGTGCCTCAGTCGCCGGGGCGACGTGCAGTGCGCCAGCGAGGATATGACTTGCGGTTATTGATTTTCAAAATGGCGAACAACAAAGTCGATCTGGGTCAGATAAGAAGCGAAGAAATCGTTTACAATAGATTCATAAAGATCCCACTGGGCTAAATAGTCGTGCTAAGCGACAGGTATAGACATTTTTCAAGGTGAGACTTTTTAGTAATTTATTTATTCACGCGAAACTTCTCTGGACCCTGTGTAAAATTCAGAAAATAAGCCCCGAGACTTACTTTTTCAAAGGCCCTTTTTGAGGGGCTTATATTTGGAAGGGCTTATATATACGGGGCGAATTTGCGTTACAAAATCGACTAGGCTTATCTACGTCTCAAAACCGATTGGGCTAGCGTATAGTTGGAAGGAAATATATGTCAGTAATTTGCAGAAAGTTTGTGTGCCCCTTGCTTTAAGTGTTTCTTACTGAAACCCGCCTTGAGGACGTAGATCTTACTAAACCTGTACTTTGTCGACATGGAACGAGGAAATCCAAGCCAAACAGCGATATACTGTGACACTTTTTGACCGCAAATCCAGCTGGCTCACGAAACAGTTCTTTGACAAATGCAAAAATTTATGAGTTACTGTACAGGTTTTGCTGTTTTTTTTTTTTTTCAATTTGAGGGCAATTTCCATGTACAAGCCCCCGGGGGCTTAAATTTGGAGGGGCGATTTAACGGAGGGTTTTTTGCCCTACGAGTTTGGGGGGCTTATACATGGAGGGGCTTATTTTCAAAATTTTTCCGTAGCTCTCCAAACCCCAGGGGTACTCCCATATAATTTATGGGCTATACTCGTATATGGTATGTGCTTTATCTCTGGAGGAGGCCAGGATATTTTACTTCAGTTTGATTCTGGAGCAGGGTCGATTTGTTTCTTCATAATCCCTGATTATTAACTTTGTTTTAGGTTCGTTCGATCACCTGCTGTAGTCCTACCGCCGAAGTACAAAATGCAATCAAACATTCTTTTGCCACTCTTTTGCAAGTCGTCGCAAAATAATACTATAGTCATGATGGTTGGGAGGGGGAGAACCCCGGACCAGATTGACTCATTTTCATAGGCTGTTATTGGGCGCTTTTCATTCAACAAAAATTTCGGAAATTCCACGTGCCGACCCACGTGCCCAATGGAACGGTACATTCCGGTTATGAAGACCCGACCCAAGCCACTGCGCGTTTGGTTATTGTTCTTGTGAGCAGGATACAAAAGAGAGGCACTGGGGACAACAATTTTGTCAAATGGCAAGAGACATTCTGTCCAAACGACCGAAATGATCAGACCGGTCAAAACTGGTCAAAGTGGACCACCTTCAAGGTAATCTCAAATATCCCGGTCGGACCGAACCGAAATGGTCCCGTTCCAGTTGATTTCTAACCAAAATTTCCGGAATTTTGAGCTGAATGGAAAGCGCCCGCTATTACAATCTACTCAATGCTTCTAACAATCACATCACTATCTTCCAGATTATAATTATTTGCTGAGAGAGAAATTAAATGTTCATGTGATGGATGAGCTTGCTGGTCAACTGGATCAACCAGGCTATCCTAGGGCTAATTACTGGGTCCATCTTGCTTCAGAATTCCAAGTTCCGGAGGAAGTTATCATGAAATGCCAGCACAGTTTCGAAAGTAGTCCAAGCAAACATATGCTTGAGTGTAAAGAGGGCTTCGACACTAACTTCTCAGTCCAAGCACTCAAAAAAGGACTAACAGCCATCTCAAGAAACGATCTTGTACAGAAAGTAGACAGTTGTCGTCTTCCAAGTAAGTTCCCTAATGAATTGCAGCAAGAAAAGATAAAGGTCCTTTCATCCCTTCTTGATTCGAAGGCGATATTTCATCCTCTCTTGATTGCAGTTAAGTTTTCATTGTAGTCTAACCACTTTATTTGCTGTGCAGATTTTTGAGCCATTAAAAAACTCGGATTCCAGCTTCTGTGTGAATACGGCCGTCTCAGTCTTACCGCTCCCAGTAGCCTGTGTACAGACGTTCCCCCTCCCTCAGAAAAAAATCTTCTCCCGATTTTTCTCTTAGTGAGGGGGACGTCTGTACACAGGCTACGCTCCCAGTTGCTGGGGCCTGGGATGAGGCAAGAGAGAAAGAAAAGCGAGACAAATCAGCAGCAGCGGGGAGCAAACAATCGGCTCATTTTATTTTCAGTGTTTTCTTTATTTATTTTTCCTATCACTCTTCCTGCCGTAAGGATCAGTCTACTGTTCTAATTTTAAAATTAATTAATGGTTCACATAAGAAGGAAAGAACCAAAGGCAATGAGCACATCGGAATCAGTATAATGGACTAATGGTGCTAACTTTACTGATAAATTCAGTGGCTGGTTGAAACATCAAATTTTACGGAATCTTCGCAAAGCAGCATGTATGTTAATCCCTTGTTTTCTAACCAACTTCCTTATAACAAAATCTCGTCTGAGTTTGAGTAACACAGTAAATGACTTTTCTTGGCTATTGTTTGCAACTCTTATGATTGCCCGGAATCTTTTAACAAAAAAGACGCCCTTTAAAATGGAGTTCAAATACATTTGATGTTGTTAACTCCATTTTTGTAGGTTTATGCAAAAATAAAACCGAAGAACACATGCATTAATATAAATGCCCTTTTTTACAGCCGGTGCAACATTACGGGAATTCCGTGAGAGACATCCAACCATTTTTGAGAGTATTTGTCTTCAAATGGACCACCACAACAACTGGAAAGCTTTAGGGCTGAGCATAAGTATTCCAGATGACACACTGCAACAAATTGCGACCTCCACCAGCTGTGCGAAAACAGTCTTAAACATCATTGAAAAGAAAAACCCCAGACTGACAGTAAAGGAGATGCGAGATGTCTTGAAAGAAATGTTGAGAGAAGATGTGTGCAAAGTTCTGGATAAGTATCTCTTAGGTATCATTTTCTACTTCTGATTTTCAAAAGCTCATAGAAACAGAGTCTATTATTTTGACCCGCGGTAATAGATACAATTGCATAACCTAATAGCTCTTCTTTTTTAATTTGTCATTTAATTTATTAATTAATTCATCTGAAGTGACAGCAGACAATAAATGATTTGAAACTATTTACCATTTTAAGTTTTACAAAGTGTAATGACGGGAAATACAGAATTCTGAATCTTTATTATTTTCATCAAAGCGACAAGCGTTTTCACCCATAAATGTAAATTCTTTTAACTTCACATTTTGGTTGATTGTCTAACCGACTGACTGATTGAATTTTAAAAATTGGTAGCCTGCAGAACGGGTGTTATTTCTCGCGTTTCTCAGGCAAGAGAAGGCAAGCGCGAAGGTAGCGAGGGCGCGAGACACGCACAACGGAGCGTGTCTCACGTTCCACACCTGCTTCGTGTTTCGCTCGCCCTTAAAACGTGTAAATTTAGCGCCTGTTCTACAGGCTAATTAATTGATTGACCGATGTTTATTTTCCCATTCCACAGATAGCCACACAGTTGTAAATTTGCGTGAAAATATAAATTGTTCGGAAGAGGTTGCAATCTTGTTGGATAAAGAAACACCAGGAATGAAAAACTGGCTGCATTTTGCTCGCAGGCTAGGTGTATCCAAAGAAGATTGTGACAATTTAAAGCCAAAAGGAAATCCAAGCCCGACCAAAGCTTTAGTGGAACACATCGTTCACGTTTATCCAGACCTCACAGTCAAGACGTTTATCGAAGCGCTGGTGAAGATGCAACGCATAGATGTCGTCAATGCTTTGGGAAAATTCATTTGTGGTAAACAAACTTTTTAAAAATGTTAAGTTATTTTTTTCTTATTTTTATCATTATTCCGCTTTTGCATTTGCTGTGTTAGGTCTTGATTAAGTGTACGTTGTTTGTTTTCTCTTCTTTCCTACCGAACAGCTTCAACAGCTCAACAAGCGTCCGACAGGGCCGAACATTAGTTGCACTGCATCAAGAAACAGGTTATAAGCTGTTATTTAAGGACCTGGATGTAATTAAAGAAGCATAACTCTGTTCTTCGAGCCTCGTACCCTGCACTGGTTTCAATGACAGATGTAACTCCTTGTCCGTACAAGAATACAAAGCACAATTGACACTGGTCACAATCATTTGTACCTCTATATGGGCATCAAAGGAACATAGCCACCATGCCCGCATCAAAGAGGTGTCCGGATAATAGAGGTAGCGATGGTAAGAGGTTTACTAAGTTTCATCTTCGCCGGAGAACAAGAAAATTGTGAGAAAAAGGGAAGTGTAGAGAAGAGGTTCGATTGATATGAACAAGTTCAACTTGTCATTCACCAAATTAAGGAAAGCCGCAGCAGAAAAACTATGTTATATCTCAGCGCCTATCTTACTTAGGCGAGAGTGATAGGCTTCCTTAAGTAATGGGAGAGTTCGTCGAAGCGTCCAGCACCACCCTGTAAAAGATATGACGTAGCTCGCATTTTGATTTTTTTCCTACGCCACTGCGTAGCCAGCATTACATGTTTAGAAGCCTTAGATACACTTGGATGAGGTATCGCACTTTTCACTTAATGCTATAAACCATATCTCAAATTGAGACTCCCGGAAGTAAGGCACTGGGTGCCAACGTTCGATTGATTAGCCCTTGCGCAAAAATATTCCACATATGGATTTCTTTTGGCTATTCCTGCTATCGTACATGTTATCTTTCTGTATACCCAAACAATATTTGTAGATACACTATCACGTACAACTTGTCGCAGACCCAAGACATGATTCAGGAGTTTAATTTTCGCAAGTGCCTCGACTATTTTGCAACTACCTGAAGTACCAAAAGACCTAGAATATTCATTAATACCAGGAGCCATGATCGGGGTAGGAGACCGTAACTGGGCCTTTTCCAGGAATGGGGTTGGTTGTATCGAAATAGCCAAAAGTGCTATTTTTAGCATGAATTGTGCCATCTCGTGTGACACGCGCGCGCATTTTTTTGCAAGAGCGCCGCACACAGGATAAACAGTCAAAATGGCGTCTGAAATGACCTCCTTAGGAGTTGAATAAATTCCATTTCTGTCATCATTGCCTCCTCCGAACTTGAAGCAAGACCTTGAGGAGAACCTTTTTGACAATAACTCTAAATGTGAGTAAATGTGACCCGTAGTGAGAGTGTTTTTGACAAATCCAGTGACGAAGAGATGTCGGAGGTGACGTGCGATGAATATCCCGTTCGGACGAAACAAAAAAAACCCTGCGGGGAAAAGGAGGGAAAAGGAGGTCTGCTACCCCGATTATGGCTCCTGTTAATACTTAAATCCCAAGCGTGATCAACATCAATTTTCTTCTTAAATATCAATACTTAATCATATGGAAAGTTTAGTAGAACTTACAAAATGATCATCTATTGAAAAATTCTTTGATCTATTATCAAATTCTCCCAACTAATTCTTTAAGGAAATGTATTGCGATCAGTCTGAAAATTTGCATGTAGATTTTGAGGCCTAGAGGGTTAAAGGAGAGATCTTGATAGCACGTAATCCTTCCCCCAGAGAATTTTTTTCTTCAACCCATGGACTCCTGGGCCTGTTGCAAGTAGCAGTTACCAGGGATACCAAATATTCTTTCGAATTTGTCGGTGAAATCAAGGGAAGGGTCCATCTCTCAGTTTGGTATGGAGGTACCGTATACCTGCTTGTTAAAACTACCTGTCAATGGATTACATTCAAAGAAATTGGTCACTGTGATTTGATCAATGCAAATCAGTTATTTCCCCTACTAATCATAATACCCAGGCACTAGAGAAAGACTGGGCCTCGTCATGATATTCGATTTTTACTTACTTGAAAAGAATTATATTTTGCTACCCATAGCACCGCTTTAGTACTTTGATTATCTTTTTTGCCATGTATCAATTGTAAAAAAAGCCTAAGTTTGCCATTAAGAATTATTCTTTTAGCCTCTAAAACCGCTCCTTCAAGAGACGGTGTTGTCATAAACTCTTGAACTGCGATAACAATTTTATACCCCGCTTAAGCATAAATTTTATAGAAATTGTAGATTTAATACAGGTATTTGATAACAGTTGCTTTTTATGTGCAACATTTTTGGCTTCTTTTAATAGCAAGCAATAAATAGAGTGTGTTTACAATACTGGAGTTTTTAAATATCATAAACACATAAGCTCAACCGGATATAAACACCCCGACATCTCTCTCCCGCCTCCGCATCTTTCTAAGCCCGAGCAAACCCCTTACGATGTAATATAAGCCTAGACGTTAAAATTGAGTTCTACCATAACGAAGAAAAGTGGGGTTCTTGTTCCGTGTATCCCTTTCTTTTACTTCAGTTTCCAGCAATACTCTTTTTTACGTTTTTTTTTTTCCATACTCGTTATGGATTCTTCCCTACGTATTCAAAATGCCACCAAGAACTACGTTCACACGATGTCTTATGCAGATTATAGCGAAAGTGAAAGTAGTCAAAGTCATTATTTTCGTTTTCAGCTCATAGCACGTACAGCTTGACCTTTGTTCAGCGGCATATATTTATCTTCAGTTCTGCTAAATATAATGATGATATACGTGAATGTCCATCGAAGCTCTCTAACCAAGAATGACTCACAAATGACTTGGTTTTTGAGAAATCTTTAGAGACAACGACTGTCATCCGCTCAGCATCACTGTCTGCGCCATTCACGATCCGACAGGCTTAATTTGGGCCTTGTGAAATCAAGCCTCTTCTTACTGTCTTGTTTATTAAACTTGTATGCGAAACTGAAGGCGGCAGATTTTGAACCCTTGCTGTTTCTTTTTCGATAGAAATGTCGCCTTCATGGCTTCAAAAAGACTAAGACCCAAGGGTGATCGTTCGCCAAAATGAGTTATTTCATTTTTTTTTTCTTTTCTCATCCGGGAAACTTGAGAAGTAGTCGTATCTTTCATCTTCAGCGACAACTGAGGGTGAAGTTAAATTAGGCTGTGTTCACACTATCTACAGGATAGCTTTTCTTTTACAAATACCCATCCGATTTGTGTCTCTCCACTTTAGAGATCTGCGAGGCGCAGCTTCCCTGGACAGAAATCGCGACGAAACCACCCTTCTTATGTGTGAACAGACGCCCTATCGGTATGGTTGTCGTAAAATAGCCTTAAAACCCATCGTCTTCCCCAAAAATTTTTTAAAATTTAAAAAGCATATTTTGCATAAATTATTTAATGTATTTTGCCCATGTAACTTTAAAAAATCATATCTCTGGTGTTATTTACAGTTCAATATCAAGCTATACCTCATTGGAAAGGGAAAAGAATACCCTTTCGAAAAAAAAATATTTCGGTCGTAGGAAACCCATAATATTCCGCCACAAAAAAATTTAAAAAGCATCTTTTGAATAAAATTTTTTTTAAATTTTAAAGAATGTCATTTAGCTAGGAAACTTCTTTATTTTGGGTGATATGGTCTGAGTAAGAAATTTTTTTCATCAATATCTAAGCAAAAACAAACTTAAATCGTTCTAAAACATCGAGCGACTAGAAATTTTCTACAAATTTTTTTCTGCACGCTCTCATGATTATGCTAATTAGATTATCATGATTAGCTTAATTAAGCAACATCCTAGTTAATAAAGTGAAATGGTTATGAATCCCGTTAAACTTCTTTGTTATATGATTTTGCAAGTTTTTTTTACTTGACCGTGTACCACGTTCAGCAGCATTCCTATTATTTTCAAACCTCGCATCAATTTGTTCAGCCAAGTTATTCTGAGCAAAAAAGAAACAAGAGATTGTGCACGTTCGGGGAGCTCCCAGAATAAGCTGGTTCACTTTAAATTTGTTCCCATCTTTGATGTTTGCCTGCAGATTTTTCTCTTGAGTTTCGTTTAAAGACATCGCTGCAAAAAATGTGCTTATCTGCAAAGAGCCTCCCACGAAGATGTTCCTAGGGGTTCGTCACGCGTTCCTGCTAGGCTTTTGTACATTATGCTAGCCTTTTTTGGAGCATTTTAGTGAGGCAAAAGCATTGAGCATTATTCGAGCATTTTAGTGGCATTTTCCCCGGAAAATTAATTTTGCCGAGAAAATAAAATAGAAATTAACTTTTTTCAGGAGCCCATGCACCATGAGCTCCTGCTTTTTTAAACAAAATGAAGACTAAATTCAAAATTCACAAAAAACCTAACAAAGCTGGTTTTTTTGGCTGTATTTATGAACTTGTACACGTTGTCGTTTTACTTGCAACTCTTGCACGTTTTGGTAAGTGTAAACTTTGAAATTAATTTAAAAAAACCGTTTGTATAATGAGCATTATCCGAGCATTTTAGTGATTTTTTGGGGAGACCGAGCATTTTAGTGGGAAAAATGGAGCATTAAGGTGGAACATTTTAGTAGGGAAGCAAAAGCATAATGTACAATTGTTCCTGCCCCAGACGTTCGTGGGGCAGGAACGCGTGACGAACTGGCCCCAAGAACGTCTGCGTGGTAGGCTACAAAGTTACCGAATGCCTGCCTTAACACATGTGAAGTTGAATTTTACGGACATAAATTCGCGTCTAACTAAAATTTTTGTCCCTCACTGTAGCTTAGAATTTCTTATGCTAGGAATGTTACAGTTGTGGGACCCTCGTCTGGTCCAGTAAGAGTGGAAAGAAATCAAATAATGCTACATCAAATAAGGCAGTAGGTTGTATATTATAAGATTCTGTAAATATTATGACTACTCTATTGAGAATTTGGACTTACTTTTTCAAAGTTTGATCCTTTCAGTCTTCACATATGCTTGAAGTCTGGGGGTGCGCTTTTTATAGTTACGTTTAAGTAGAATTGATAAGCTCTTTGCTAGGTGTTATAAGTTAGGTTACTGCTTAAAGCAGCACAGTATCTCAGTTGGACATTCGTCGTAATAGAGATATGAAGTTATGGCGAAGGATCTCTTCCACCAACACTGCGTTGAGCGATCTTTTACCTCAGGGGCAGCCAACGAC